TAACCACAGAGGATTCAGACCAGACCCTGCCTTCCCAGAGCCACGGAGGTTTGTTTTCGTTGGCTTTGTCTGAATGCACCCCTCCACCCGAGCAGTCCAGCTAGGCATTCCCATATTCCCATTCCCACAGAAGAAACGCTCCCCAGCCTCTTCCCTCCCTACTCCCATCCAAATCCTGAAAACACATGCGTAACCGGAGTAGAACATTAATCACAGACCATTATGAAGACGTGGAGAGATAACTACTTCACGTCTGGCATTCCGTCTATGGCAGAACGCAATGATCTGCTTCACGTCATAAAGACACAAACACAAAATGAAATTACTGGGTTTATTATGTTGTGTGAATTCAATTAAATCTCAAATTACATATGCTTAGCATCACACACAGCTAATATCATGCTCAAGAACAAGCAGAGGTAATCTGAGGCACTAACAGACACTCCTAGCATGAATCTGGTCTAATCATCTTTGCTTGTAGCAGGCAGGGTGGTGAAACGGCTTCCCATGGGGAATATCGTGGTGCTTTGCAGTGGAAATGAATGGCTTGTCTGCAGCACTAGTGCTGGTAATGGATATTGATCCAGCACTTGGGTATGTGCAGCTGGAATGAAGAGCTGGTTTAGATGCTTTTGTTGGTTGTGTTAGGGCTGTGCCTGAGAATTGTCCATGCATGACTCGGTTTGCCATTAAGAACTACAACTTCTAATGATTCTAAACAACACTCACATCTGTTACTTCTTAAAGGAACAGTTCGCTGAAAAATGAACATTCTCTCATCATTTAGTCAGCTCCAGTCACCAATCACTTACAGTCATCTGGGTTTGGAACAACAGGAGGGTGAGTAAATGACGCCAGGATTTAAATTTTTCAGGCGAACTATCCCTTTAAGATATTATGAGTAATGTTTGAACATTATTTAAACATTTTCTGTTTCGTCAGCCGCTCAAATGCTCTGCAAAGCCCAAGGAAAGAAAACAGTGAGTTGATTAGTACGATAATAATCAGCGACTCTCTCACAAATCCAACAGAGAGATATGAATAAAAACCTTGGTTTTCCCTCCAAGCGAACGCTAGATGGCGCCTGCGCACTCTCACAGTCCTAAACAAAAACAGAACGCCCGGGCGGCGCGTTTAACCGCTTGATCCTCCTCAAGAGTTTACGCTGAGCTTTTCTTTATCTTTATCGATTGTAAAAACCCAAGTCTGTTCTCTGTCTAGTCAGCCCAGTGTATTGGTGAACATAAATTATTAATGGGCTCATAACTCCGTGACTTGTGAATATACGACATGTTTTAGTCTGTCAGGACGCAGCTTTGCGCTCTATTCGGGAAAGCTCGCCAAGTTAAACAGCGTTTCCGATTGTGCATTTCAGTGTGCATTTAATAGATTAGATATCACAGCAGCAGAGGTTATCAAAGCAATCCGCTGCCTTTGTTGTCGAACAGAATGCAACCGTTCCTGTGCGTACAAGACGGTAACAAAGAAAGAGAGATATGTTTAACCCTGTCAAATCTATCGGTGCGGGAAGAAATGTAAATTTAGATTGCTCTCTCTCTCCCTCTCTCTCGCTGCATTGCAAAGTACGATATCAATAGAATAAAGTAATAGTATAATGGTCCCATTATACATTAAGTGTCTTTAAATACTATGTAATTAATAATAAAATAATGAATTGTTAGGTACAATGTACCTATTGTGTTCATGTTGAATTGCAAAACATTTTAGGTGTAAACTACAGAAATGACTAACTACAGCCAGTTGCATAAACTACTTCGACTAGTCTTGAAATTTAGTCAGTCAATTTTTTTCTTCAAGACTGGTCATAACTTTTGAAATTCAGTTTCATAAAATGGTAGCTATTGTTCTAATTTGAATCTGAAAAGTAAGACCACTTGGTTAACGGCTAGTTAGTGAAACTAGTTCTTAAGACACAGTCTAAACATTGTGACAACTCTGCCAGTTCATGCAACTGGCCCCAGATGTAATTACAGGATGGTATTTTCGAATATAAGTACAGTGTAAAAACATGTGTACACAATATGTGCATTGTATCAAATTATTAATTTAAATGTAAGTAAGGACACTTAATATAAAGTGGGTCCTAATAGATCAAATTAAACAATAGTATAAAAAAGAATATAATTAGAAGTGCAGAATAACATTTCAAAATGACATTAATTAAAAGTTATTTAAAGGTATAATGATGAAAAACAGCACTAAATATGCCC